CTGGAGCAGCTCTGCTGTGAGGACAGGCTGAGGGAGTTGGGGTGTTCAGCCTGGAGAAGAGGAGGCTCCACGGGGACCTTTTAACAACCTTCCAGTACCTGAAAGGGGCCTACAAGAAAGCAGGGGAGGGACTATTCACAAGGGTTTGTAGTGACAGGACGAGGGGTAATGACTTTAAGCTAGAAAAGGGGAGATTTAGGTTAGATATTAGGAGAAAGTTCTTCAGTATGAGGGTGACAGACCACTGGAACAGGTTGCCCAGACAGGTGGTGGAGGCCCCATCCCTGGGGACATTCAAGATCAGGCTGGATGAGGCTCTGAGTAGCTTGATCTAGTTGGAGATGTCCCTGCTTATGGTGGGGGGGCTGGACTAGATGACCTTTGGAGGTCCGTTCCAGCCCAGACATTCTATGATTATATGAATTTCTATATTAGATACATTATAGCTAACATTTTCCAGTTTTATTCCTTACCAGTTTCCTCTTTTTTCTTGCTCTTGCTTTTTTAATTGGAGCTGACTACAAAGCCACATACAATTTAAGTGAGGCATATAAAAGATTTCTACAGTGATCTTTTCAAGTTTTTCCTCATTCCATCCTTCTACACCTTTAAAGTACTGTAAATGTGATGGACTCCCCGTTTTCCAATTTCAAGCCATTAATTCTTCTTGGCAACATGAGATTGCTTTACTTTTACTAATATCAAATTCTGCATGTCGCCACTCTGCTATTTGAGTTAAGCCTTGCTGCATCTGAGATTTTCAGGTGTCTTCTGTAGCCTTGAATAATTAAAACTAAGTATAGTGCCTTCTGTGATTTATAGAGTAACAACCATTTCATATAGAACTTCAAATGCTACTTTGAAAACTGAACAGTTATGAAAACTCTTAGGCCTTAGCAAAACAAAAAATGTGATGCACTAAAAAAGAAGGTAAGGAAAGTGTTTTTCCTTCCTTTTCAGTCCATGGCTAAGAATACCTGTAAACAAGCTCTTCAAAGATAAAACACTACAGTAACAGAACCTAACCATCAATATCATCTTCAAAATATTCCCAAACTTATTTTTCTTGACATGCTGTAGATGGAATTCTTCATTTCCATGTTTGTAGGTAGACTTTAAGTGTATCAGGAAGGAGCAGACTCTCTTCTGCCTCCCTGGAATCTCATTTCACTTGTCACAAAATGGAACAAATTAAAAATACAATATGGAAGTGTTGCTACCTTAACTGGACCAGCATTTTCTTCAACATGATGAATTTTTTCTTTTATTTCTTCCAATTTTTTTTCAGCTACCTGGAGAATATTTTTCAGTTCTTCCACTTTTCTGCTTTGTTGCTGCATGTCTTTTTTTACAGATTCCATCTTACTCTTATTTTCTTCAACTTCATCTTCCTGTCAAAATACATTGAAGTGAAGAATAAAAGGAGATATACATTTGCAAATTACTGTACAAGATTTTTATCTTATTATCACTATCAGGGTACAAGATTACATGCAATACTCTAGAAATCTAGTAAGAATATCAGCAGCTCAATGTAGGTGTCACTAAAATCCAAAAGAAAAGACTGATGGATCTTGTAGAAGGCCACTAAATCAAACTGCAAAATAAAAAGTGGAATTTTCTAATTATTTGACTGAAAATTAAGGGGACTTTATTTTGAAGTTGTGATGAAAAGACTAAAGGGGGTTAGGATTTTGTGAAGACTTAGCCATGCTAATATGTTATTACAGTAGTTTTTTTAAAAGGAAAAGGTAACTTCCATCTGGATCCGTGACAAAGTATACACATCCAGTATACAAAAAAAATACAGGAAGATTAAGTGGACCATCACTGTTCCCTAGAAAGTTATACCATTCCCAATGAATCATCATCATACATACTTACTGATTTGAAAAAAAATATTCCAAAACCAGGAAATAACATCTAAATGAAATCTTGTGCTTCTAAGATTTTTTTTTCATGATCAAACTATTGTGGAATCAAGGTAGCAATGAAAGACAAATACTAAGTGAAAGAAAAACAATTAATCCATAGTAGAGGTCAGGAAGTGCAGCAAATAGAAATACAAAAAAAAATACAAGAAAGAATAAGAAAAAGTAAGTACATAAATCTACCAGTTGCATAAGACCATTATCAGAAGGCAACAGTAAAAATGTTGATGTTGAAAAAGTGTCCAGTAATTTTTAAGCAGGAAGATACTTTCCTACAAAGGTAACAGATTATTTTTACATCTCAGCAAGAGGAAAAAGGCCTTTTTTTCATACCAACAGAACTAGACTACCTGGCAGAGTATAACCCTGCAAGAGCTTACAGGGTCTGCACTGGTCCCTTCCTTTGAGTTAATTTTGACATGTTTAGTTACACGCCCATGTATGTGCCCACACTGAAAGGCAGACTACTGTCAAAGAGTGAGTTTATGCCAACACCAGAAGGGGAAAAAAAAGAAAAAATGTCTGGGCAACTGAGCCTCTTGTTGATCCCACATAAAATAGTAGGAAAACTGGCATAGATTTTAACTGAAACAACTGTAGTCAGGATTATTATTAAAGCTATCGGCAAGGTCTCAGAATTCAAATCTTGGCCATTTATACATTAGCCTATTACAGAGTAAACGTTGAAATTCATGGCCACCAACATAAAAAAAAAAAAACCAAACCACAATAGGTTATCAAACATTTTTTCCTGTTCACATGGATAAGAACTAGAATTTTGAAGGAAAGATCATGCTGCCATGATTCTTCCTCAGGTATCCTTCCTTAGGGATACATGAACTTTAAAACTCCTGCATGGTGAAACTACAGCAACACAAGAAACTGGTTTCAGGGCAGAGCAGAAGTGCTGTGACATTCACTATGCTCCAGAGTGACCTTCACCTATGCCTTGATAATGCCAATTCTGACCTCAAAACTTACAACACTGCTCCTACCTAACCAGAGTTTTACAGCACTGGCACAAGGAAAGAAAATGCATGGAATATTCCTTTACAGCATTGCATTGCCTTCCATAAACCTGCAGTGTTGTTTGTATGAAAAAAGGCAGAAGAAAAAAAGAAAATATTTGTTTTCAAAGAAGAACAAAAATGGATAAAATCATGCCTTTGCCATAATTACAGATACTCTGTGAAGTGTTACACTCTCCACAGTTTATCCAACTTGTACAGTAGTTGAAATTTTATAGTTTTTGCTTATTCCAAAACACTGTCAAAAGACATTATTTCCTGTCTTTACTGGACATAATTTGGTAATTGAGTCTTACTAATGTACGGATGTCCACAGATGGGTGTTCTTCCATATTTTCAAGATCTGTTATTTCTGCATTTGTTGTTCTTATTTTTATCTGAGGAAAAAAAAAGGAAAAAATATTCTTAAGTTTATCTAAAGAGAAAAGTTCACATTTGTTTATTTAAGTCCACACAGAAAACAATATATTTGGTCTTTTAATTTCATTAGTGCCTACAAAAGACAACTCTTCCCATTTCCCTATAGATCCCCTTTTTATAAGATAAAACTAAAAGTCACATGCACTTTAAATCATTAAGTTTTTATTGTATTTCCATTCAATATGACCATTGAATACAATATATTTTATTTTTTCTTCAAATATTTATCTTCAGTAATTTGAAAACGCGTATCAGTTCTTTTGCTGGTTCTAATTTGTCATTTACTGAATAGCAGTATGCATTGTCTTGCACTCCCTAATTGTGACATCACTGTACACTGTAAATATGTATCTTAGCTAGAAGTACTGGAAAACAAAGTAAGGAGACTAACAGTTGTACAACTGTTTATAATTATTTTTAAAAAAAAAACAAACAAACAAAAAGGTGCAATGTTCAGCATATTAAAATGGGTTAAGAATATGAATGAATAGCATGAAGAGAAGATTATGGGAACGAAGAGGTAAAGCTCAACAGAAATAAAGGAGGGGGAAGCAGGGAAAAGAAACTTATCAAATATTGCAACAACTTCCTGTTTGTGTCAAAAAAAAAAAAGGCAGTAGAAATTTATAAGATTTAGCACAAGTGAAAATAAACCCACAACAGCATATGCTGGGATTGATGTGGCCTCTATTGCTCTGTCATAAATTATGAAAGAAAAAAAATAAGGATGAACATTAAAAAGTATTATCCACTCAAAATACATTGCAGAAGTCAAAATCAAATAGGGAGAGACTGACTAGTTCTAAAAACTAGCACTGTATCTATTTTTACCTGCAGCTTTTTTTGGTGTTGTTGATGACCACGAAGATGATCTTCATTCTGCCTGATCTCATTTTCAATGGAACGTAAACGTTGCTGAGATGCTGCTAATTGTGCTTTTTTGTTTTCAATTTCTTTCTCCAAGTGACTTTACAAACAAAGTGATATTGAGATACTGCATATTACACAGATATTTCTTACATGCACAGAGAAATATACAAATAAACATCCACCAAACCCCAAAACCTTAAGTTTGTTATGCATTTGATGGTTTTAGCAATCAATAAAGAAACACCAAAGCTCTACAGCAGAACTCATCAGTAATAACCAGCAGATAGCTGCTTGATGGTCCTATTTCAATGCCTAGTGGATAAGCCCTTCATGTACTTTGAACCATCTGTAACCTCTAGTAGCCGTTTTCACAAACAGACCAAGTGTTTGAACTAAATAAACAGTGGTGTTACTTCTAAAAACACTGCTGCATCTCAAGAGAAAAACATACTTTGGGACAAAACACTTCCAGTCAGAGAGAAAATGAATTAGTAGAGATGTGAAAAACATTTGACATAGTTACATACTTTTCCTTCTACAAAGGACCACATGTCCAGATATTTCCACAATAAATTCTTTCAGTTTGTGGTAAAACTACTTGAAATGGAAAACAAAGCTATTTTTTAATACTATTTATAGATGGCAAAACTGTGATAGCATCTTTCACCACTGCAAAAGAAAGAGGAAGCTTTACTAATATTACACAGAACAAAAAATCTTAATACAAGTGTTTAATCCAACTTTTGTTATAGATGCATGACACAAACTGATCAAGTCTGACGCCAAAAGATACTATTGGAGATAAGTGTGTCCTTACTTTAAGCTAAGTTTGGGAGGCAGGGAGACATTTTTTAACTGGCCCACATCAAACCCCCATAGTAATATTGGTGAAGAAATGCCTATAATACTTTGAAAGTGAAGATAATCTTTGAGTGAAGTTTGTTATATACAGTTAACAGACATTTAAAACTTTTGAGTTTACAGAAATAATTTTTAAATATTCAATCTACACTATCAGCTATTAAGACTAAAATTAAAATGTTTACTTAATATGTCTGTAATATAATCAGAACTTCAAAATATTCTATTGTCACCAAGCAAACAGGTCACAGTTCAAATTTGTCAACTTTGAAATAGGCTTGGCTTTCTCAGCTACCATTTCAAAAGTAATGAGGAAAGAAAAAAAAACAAACAAACAAGGGTGGGCAGGGGGTGCAACATTGGAGAGGGAAGTCGAGTTTATCGGAGATAGACATCATGAGCAATGTCAGAAGCCTGACAAAACACAGATGCAAAGTTCTAAATCAGTAGAACATGTGGCAACCTAAGTTTGGTTTGAATCATCAGGACTCCTTTGCAGTGAACTATGACAAACCCCTACCTGTTGGGCAAGATGACATGCCACAAGCTGAAAAATATCCAGGTTCAACTCAGGTTTGTACCTTTCTCAAAAGCATTGAAATAAAAAGGTTTTCCAAGTTCTCAGAAAGGAAGAGTAAATCTCAGAAAAAGAATGGAGAGACTGAAGAGTAGTGTACATTCAAACAGATAAACATGCAATTCCACTAGTCACGTCAACAGGGGCACTCTGTACACACACAACATTACAAGATGCTAACCTTATTTCTGCTTCAACATCTTGGCTTAGGAACTTGGGTCTGAGGTATTCAGAAGAGTAATATCGTCTTTCAAACACTTGATCACCTGCAGCAGTGAAAGCTTCTCTACAATTTTTGGGGGGCCGATTCAACTGCATTACTTCACGAGCTTTAATGTTACTCTGAAAAATACAGCAGCCTCGTTATACCAACAGAAAAGCAACCATAATCAAAGGTATCAATTGAAAACTTGTCTAGAAGTTCTCACCCAGAAACAATTTCAATTCCTAATGAAAAATGAGCACAGTCACAAAAGAATGTGAAAAAAATCTGTCAACTATCTGCTTCTCTTAGTTGAATAAGACACACTCTCAAAACCCACACACTTAGTTCAGTTGCCTATTTCATTACAAATTTTACAAATTTATCTGCATTGCAAATTCCATAGTCTAATCAGTCCCTTATAATTTTAACCAGTACCCAGCATCAGTTAAGAGTTACAACTGGTGAAGGCTGGTTGCAGATTTTGGTAACACCTGGACTACACAAAACTGGCACATCCTGAATCCACCAATTAAAATAAGGAGAGGTGAGACAGCGGCAGCAGTTTGAAGGCCGATGGCACACACGGACTATTTAAGCTGGGAGCCTAAACTGCTTAGAAAGGTGGTGGTGAAAATCCTGGAAACAAACAGGGACAATCCTGGAAACACATGAGGAGAGATCTGTAGAGACAAGTCCCAGGGTATGGCCAGGGACCTTGGCCTGTAACAGCCCAAACAGGTATCTCTGAGCAGGTGCACAGCAGGAACCAGTAGGATTTTCTCCCTGACCAGCAGTGATCTCCCTGCTGCAGACAGGAGTTGATGCCCATGAACATAGTATGGGCACAGAAACAAGTAATGGTGTGGAAGTAAGAGCAAAATCTCTTGGAAACAAACCTTAAAAATCTCTCTTTATCTGCTTCTTTTGTCTATTCCAGACTATCACTGAAGTTACAGTATATGCTCCATACAAAGAGACAAAGAGAAAATGCTTTTCTTTAAAGATTGATAGGGAGCATAGATTCCCTTACTTTAATCAGCAGGATCGTTTCAATGCCCCTCACATCGATCAAACAATTGGCAACCACTGCATTATCTATTTCCAGTGCTGTGAGAACTGATGGGAACTCTGGATGATGAACTCCTCTGAAGAAAAAAAGACAAAAAAAAAAAAGACATTTGTAAAGCTCACATCAGATTCTTTTTTAAAAAAAAAATTACAAATAGCTCTTCACAACTAATAGCTCTTTTCAACTAATAATAATTTGAACCATGAAGGTTAAACAATAAAACTCAAAACATAGCTTACCTTTGTCTAACATCATAAACTTCATTCTGAAATTTATTTACAATTATCTGAGGTCTAAATCCATGTGAGTATTTTGACATCAGTCGCTGAAGAGTTCTTTCATCACTATGATTATCACAGCAAAATGCCTGAACTAGGCTCTTTAAACAAGATTCAACAGCCAAGGTCAGTTCAGCATCTTTAGGATGAATGAAAGCACCTGGATAAACAGAAGACACAAGGCTTTAGGAGCTGTATTTCATAACAAAACATCCAGTAGGGTATTTTTACCACTCAAGGTTTTTGTTTTGTTGTATTACAGGGTCTTTTCAGTCTAAAATAAACCTTTCTTACAAGAAGAAAAAAAAAAATCTAAATTAAGAAGTTAACCAAGAGATAAAAAACACAGACATGTAATTTCTTTTTCTATAGACACCTATACATATACAGAGGCCTAAAGTTTCTTCCAAGATCTTTGACACATCACTATGAACTTCCAATAAAGGTATCAACTTTATGGCAGCCCAGAAGGAATATATCAAGGTAAAGATTGCTCATCAACAACTTAATGTTTAAGGGCAAAGGCAGAGAAACAACTATGCTGCAAGTTAAATAAATATTAAGAATTCCATTATATCATCTGCCTTGCAATAGTCTGTGTGTTTGCACGTTCTCACCCTGCAGTAAATGCCAGAAACTTAAGTACCTGGTCTTTACACTTATACCCAGAGCATTCAGTCACTGTCAGAGCTGGTCAAAAAACTAATGAAAACCAATTTTCCGAGAAAACCTCAATTGGTTCTGTCCGAGTTGCTCCGTGCAAAGCATCTCAAGGTTGACAAGCCCACAAGCCAGCCACTAGACATTTTGAAAGAAATCTGTCCAAAGAACAAGCAGCCAAAGCACAGCAGAGTCTGATGCTTAGAGGGTGTGGGGGCGTCAGAGAGGTGCATCAAGTTTACCATTGTAACTACATAAAACACCTTAACAAAGACAGCTGTTAGATGAGGAAAACCAGTAGATGTTAGCTAGTTCATTGGTAAAGAGGAGAGAAGCAAAAGACAATATGCCAGGATAAAGCCTACAGTCCAGGAAGTACAGAAGAAAGAAACATTTGAATCTCCTTAAAAAGCAAATAGTTTTTCTAAGATCACTGTTTACATGAGCAGTTGAGTAATAAATCCTGTAAGGAAATACTTGTTCTTCAGCAGTTATTTTTACCTATAGGTCCGATAGGTTTGTGTTTAAAGTGCCCTTGCCTATAGGCTGTTTCAACTGCTTCAAGAAATGCTGGCATATGTGGTCCAAATCTTTTCAAGGTGTTTGTTTTACTATCTTTCAGCTCTCTCAGCTGTTTCTGCTCGGCATCCAGTGCTTGTTTTGCATCAAACTCTTCTTTCCTAAGACAACAGAATATTTTTTTCAGTACCAACATCTTATGAAGCCTTAATTTGATTAAAATAATTATAAAGTCTCATTTTTCAAGTACTAATAGAACAGTGTATCAATACCTCAACATTTCAATGTACAGCTAGTTATACATCTGCAACAAAATTTTTTATAGTCTCAAGAAAAAAGACAAAAAAAATCAAGAAAATTACTAGTTTACAACAGTTTTAGAAATTGTTATAAAAGTTCTCTAATGAGTTTATTTTATTTCTACAAAGGTCTTCAACAGAACATAAACTAACTGTTTGTTACAATTATTGATTACAGACATTTAAACTAATACATCAAGTGCAACTAGTAACAATTCTCAAATCTCTTAAGACAATCAGTGACAACACTGCCATAATCCCGTCCAGTAATCTTCATTCATGTTGAGCTTTCCAAATCAAAGGCTTAGGTTTTCTAGCTGAGGTATGGCCTAAATTGGTATTTGAACCACTTGCTTCAGAGTGTCTGTAAATTTACCTTTAACTACTGATACAATAACTATCCCTAAGTATATCTATTCCCTTGTATCATGTTATATATCTTATTGTATCAGGATGTACTAGTATATTAAACAACATGAAAAACTTTAAACCATAATCTGCCTACAGGGTGATAAGAGAATAAGGGACAGATGGTAAAAAGAAGAAAGAAGGGCATTAAACTGGCAGTATGGACTTAAATCTTTAAATAGATTTGAATTTAGTAATACATTTCACCTGTAATAAGTTTTCTTAATTTCCAAAAGTTTCTAAATTATCATGTTGTGCCAAAGACAAGAGTTTAGCAAGTCCTAAGATAAACAAGTGAAGAAAAAAAAAAATCCCCAAACCAGAAACACCAAAAAAAGAGGAACTGAAGCCTAATAACTCAGGGAATGCAGGTAACATAAGAAGGAACCTTGTAAAACTTGAAAAAAAAAAAAAAAGCCAAAGAGATACATTCAAAAAGCATAACTTACCTAAGTCTGGCATGTTCTTCCTTACACTTATATATAGCCTGCTGAAACTGCTCCACCTGTTGGCTGATCATGATCTCTTCATCGTGGAATGCCTTTAACTGTTCCCTTAAGTGTGCAATTCTCCTTTGTCTTTCCAATTTTTCAGGCTCTGAAACCCGATTAGCACTGGAAAAGATCATACTTCACTATTTTAAAACCACACTGATGATTTATAAGTGACATGAACTTTGGTTTATTGCCTGTAGCACACAAAAGATTTCTGCATGAGACAGTAATATTTAAGATTTTATGCATTTACAAGACTTACAAAGAATAAATACTAATTTTATTTAATTTTTTTTCATTTGTAATCACACAACTTCCCAGCTACATTCCTATTACCTTTAGTTTAAAGTACATTTGTTTTAAAACATCATGGAAGCTAGAAAATTTACATTATCACAAACAAAACTTTTTTTTTTTGCCCAATTACCTCATCACCTTCTAGCCAAAATCTTGGCATGCAAAGAAGCAGGATTAGGAATATTTAAATATTTAACTTGATGCTGCTGAAGTTTAAATATATTTTCTCTTGCTGCAGATTTTCTCACTAATCATAAGAGTTCACTCCTTGCATACTCATACCTTAATAAACATACAGCATCATCACTACATCTGCATTTACCTGCTTTTGAGTTCTTCAATTTGTTTACGTAGCTGTTCATCATCTTTTCCCAGACGTTTTAACTCAGTTTTGAAACGATTATAAAGAACCTATGAATGAAACAGGACACACGAGTACAACAAACTGAAGCAAGAATAATGGCAAAAACAATTAGATTTTTGAGTAAACATTGAACTGCATGAAAACAGACAAACCTAACTCGAATTTCAAGAATGAGAGAAAAAGAATAACAGTTAACTTGAATCACATTTATTTTGACCTAAGGTTAACATTGCTTAACCCATGTAAAGATGTAAACACTATGGTCCCCAAACTGACACTACTTGCAAGTTGGGCAGGAACTTGCACCTATTTTGAGCTGCATTATGGATTCAGGAAAAGCAGACACAGATGGAAACGTACACATGGGTAGAGCACAGAGAAGATTAAAGCTTTAAACTGGCACAAACATTGAAAGTTATTTTTGCCTACCTCGGCTTCATTGACTGCTTTTCTTCTTGCCTGCACATCAGCCTTCAAAGAAATACACTGAGGATGCAGGGCTTTTGCTTCTTCACTTATGGCTATTAACTTCTCTTTTGCTGCTTTGTACTTTTCCTCTGCTTCATTCACTTTTACCTTTGGTACAAAAAGAGAATGATACGCAAGTAGTAACGAAGCAAAATTTTCTTCAAATACTCTTAATGCTATAGAAGAAGTATCTCTCAGAAAAACCCATCAGATGTGTCTAAATCACTATTTTATCAGAAAGAAGTTATTGACACAGTAAGATGAAAATGAACAAAGGAATGTACTCAGGAAACAGGCAGACTAACAAATAAGTCAACAGCAACCTTCTTTTCTAACTCTTGTTTTACTCAAACACAGTACAATCAATACATGGTCAAGTACCACGATATGGTAAGAAGTGAAACCAGTATCTGGACAACATTCCCTCAACACTACACAGGCATGTTTGGATGTGAACTAAAACTCTCAATTGTGAAACAAATATATGCTTCTTTTGTTAATTTTTTTTTTTTTTTAAAAAAAAAAAAAAAAATTAAAGAGTGCCAAGCCAGAAAGTTGGGAAAAGGAATTTTAAGACACTAGAAAGTTCAAAATAATGATGCCTAGTGTTTCTCTGCAATTATATATTTCATAATTGAATCTGAATGTTTGGCAAAATTATTCTTTCTTCCTACTTACTGAAATCTCAAGTACCACCCAAAGAGTCTGTTAAATTTCTAAAAGTCTCCTGAAATCACACGAGTCTCTTTTACAGGCAACGATACCCCAGGAAACCTACATAGCACATCTCCAAAAGATGTTCCAAAGTTATAGAATCAAAGTTACATCAAGCAAGTACTCTAAACAACAAAAGAGCGGAAATTAGTGCTCACTGGCATATGCAATGCTAGTCACCCCAAATTCCCAGCCAAGATAATATGACAGAAGCATGGAAACCATGCACACCTACCCCTACTAAAGAACAGGAAAAAAAATGTCCTAATATTATTATTTCAGTGAAAAGTGAATGCAAATGTGACTATTAAGTTTTAGATGGCTAAAAAGGCATATAAATGGGAGTGTTCCTAGCTGCTGGTGAAAAGCTAAAATTTAAAGTTTAAATACTTTTATTCTTGAGTCAAGCAGACAAAACAAGAGTGACATACAATTTAAACAATATAGGTACCTGGCATTCTTCCAGCTTCTGAACAAATTGCTCTGTATTTTCTTCTTCAGCTCTGATGCCTTCTTGGATAGGCTGCATTTCCTTCTCCATCTCACCTACCTAAATAAAAGCATATATTTTCATATACCAGAACATCTGCAGCAGACTGGGAATAATTTAAAGTACATTTCATATCGTGAAACATATTTTAACATGACATTTACCACTGCCCATGCCATTTTATGCTTCAAATCTTCAAGACGATTCCTCATGTCATTCATAAACCCGATGCTTTTGTAACGTTCCTTTTTTTCACAATAAAGTAGCTTAAGTTCTTGAAGACGCTTAGGAAAGAAAGAGAAAAATGGTTCAGTCATGAGTGCAAATAGCTGTGATATAACATGAAACCTTGGAAAGTCTTTTTTATTTAATGTCACAGACCTAATAAAATCAAAATGAAGTAGTTTAACTGTTATAGTTATTTCAGTGCTCAGCTCTGTACTAATAATTGCTCTTTTACATACCTCTAGTCCTTGTTCTATCTGAATACAAGTATTTTTTTTAGTCTTCATAATAGAAGTATAATCCTCTTTCATTTGTTCCAGCTGAGTTGCTTTCATAAAAAACTAAAAAGGTATAAAAAGGTGCAGATGTCAGATTTAGCAGTTTATCTAAATGAACTTTAAATAATTACCATAGAAAGATCACTCATTCCAATCTGATGAATGATACCCAATGTAAAATGAGTGGTGGGGTATTTCTAAATAATTAACTCACTACTGTCCTTTTTTTTTTTTAAATATAGCAACATCTTTAGAGGAAAGAAACTTTGAAAAAATTGTTTTTGCAAGTGGATTACTGCTACAATCAGTGTACTGGGTCTGGCTCGGATGGAGTTAAGTTTCTTCACAGCAACTGCTACAGTACTGTGGTTTATATGCGTGACCAAAACAGTGCTGACAGCACACTAATGTTTTAGTTGTCACTCAGCAGTGTTTGCATAGCATCAAAGCCTCCTCTGTTTCTCCCTCAGCCCAACCAGTGAATAGATTGGTGAGGTGTGCAACAGGTTGGGAGAGGACACAGACAGGCAGATGACCTCAACTAACCAAAGAGATACTCCATCCCATAAATGTCACTGTTGTGGTTTAAACCCAGCTAGGAACTAAGTCCCACAGAAATGGTCACTCACTCCCCCAATAGGCTGGGAGAGAATCAGAAGGCTAAAAGTGAGAAAACTCACAGGTTCAGATAAATACAGTTTAATAGGTAAAGCAGAAGCCACGTGCTCAAGCAAAGCAAAGCAAGGAAATCATTCCCTACTTCCCTTGGCAGGCAGGAGTTGAGCCATCTCCAGGAAAGCAGGGCTCCATCACACATAAGGGTCACTTGGGATGACAAACACCTTCACTCCAGACACCCCTACTTCTTCCAGCTTTTTATTGCTGAGCATGATGTTGCACGGTACAGAACAACCCTTTGGGTAGTGGGGGTCAACTGTCCTGGCTGTGGCCCCTCCCAGCTTCTCATGCACCCCCAGCCTACTCACTGGTGGAGTAGTCTAAGGAGCAAAAAACGCCTTGACTCTGTGTACACACCGCTCAGCAATACCAAAAACATCCCTGAACTACCAACACCCTTTTCAGTACAAATCTAAAACACAGCCCCATACCAGCTGCTATGATGAAAATCAACACCACCCTAGCCAAAACCAGGACAGTCATGCTTAGCAATAAAAAAGGGAGAGCAAGAGGTTTAGGGGGAATTAACCATCTTTTTATTGGGAACCAGCTAGGTACCAGTCTACCCATGGGAGGTGGCAAGTGATTGATTGCCTTTGCATCTCTTGGTTTGTTTTACTTTCTTTTTCTCTTCTCCCAGCTTTTCCTGCATTTTTTAAACAATTTTTATCTTAACCCTCAAATTTTCTTACTTTTCCTCTTCCTTTCCTTGTCTCCTATTCCAAGCAGGGAGCAGCAAGGAAGGGAAGTGAGTGGCTGTGTAGTGCTTAGCTGCTTACCTGAATTAACCCACAAAAGATCAGTAAAAATAAGAAATCTGAGGTTTTTTTCTTCTCCAAATGCCACCTCTAGAAATTTGAAATCAGTATTTTAATGTTTAATCAAAATGTTAAATGACTTTTCTTACCTTGTACTTGTCACCTTCATTTTTTGACTGTAAAAAGTACTTACTCATCTCTTGGGTTAAAACAGACACAGGATTATCTACCTGTAAAAACAAATTAGTTTTCATTTTAACTAAAAAAACTTCTCATGTAACTGCATATCCATGGAAGTGAACAAACCATCCCCTTGTTCCATGCTCGGCAATTCAGTAATGAACTGACAGAAGCAGATTTAGACCTTCAGAATTCTACCCCTCCCTCATCCCTTTCTTTCGTAAAAACAAACAAAAAACCCAACAACAAACAAGGCAACCAAAGTTAAAAATCCAACTCCACCAATTACAAATTAGACCCACAAGGACAACTAAGGAATTGTTTCCAGGAGAATAACTGACTTGTAGAATGACAGTGCCCATGCTTTTCCATTTATTTAGGATCAGCGTTAGGAATTTTGTCCAATGCTGTTCAATTTCTCATTACTTAACTGATCAAAGTATTGTATTAAATGCAATGAACTGACCCATATATTCTTAGGGAAGTTTCCACAAAATATAATCAATGCACACCAAAAAAAGTTTATTATTTGAAAAGCTGAATATGGTGAATGTTTTAAAGTTCACGTGCACTATTTGTTCCACCCTTAATCACTTAAACAGCAAAAAGACACTGAAATTTCTGCAATGGCAGACACTGCAGTAATGAGCGAGCAGGGAAAAAACCTCCAGGTATGAAAGATACCTACATATGCTAAGACTTTCATTAACAGGACTCAATGGCTCACAGATGATAGCAAATACTTCTCTGAGACAATCTTATTCTGCATTGTATGAGGTATAAATTTCCATTTTCTTTTGTCATTGCATTTGATTTTAGCAGAACACGAAAGAGGTCAAACTCTCTCCTTTAACAAAATGGAACATTGCTTTTTACGTGAAGAATTATAACATCACATGATGATGTCTTTACGTGCACATGGCTTTAAGCTAGAAAAGGGTAGGTTTAAGTTAGATGTTAGGAAAAAGTTCTTCAGTACGAGGGTGGCAGACCAATGGAATAGGTTGCCCAGACAGGTGGTGGAGGGTCCATCCCTGGAGACATTCAAGATCAGGCTGGATGAGGCTCTGAGTAGCTTGATCTAGTTGGAGATGTCCCTGCTTATGGCGGGAGGGGTGGACTACATGACCTTTGGAGGTGCTTTCCAGCCCAGACATTCTATGAGTCTATGATTCTACATTATAATAATTACCTGTATATTAAAGTGATCCAGTATTCCTAGGAGTTCCTCTTTCTTTGAAGAAATTACAGTACCTAATAGTAAAAAAAAAAAAAAAAGGAAAAATACCAATAGGTCCAAAGTAGAGACATACAATGTCCTAGTCTTTTATTCAATCCAATGCTTCTTAGAAAGTGTCAAAAATTAGATTAGTATTTTTTAACACAGATTTAGTCCTAAATGTAAACTGTTTTTAGTTCTAAATAAAACACTGGCTGGGTTTTTAATCCTTCTGATGTATTTGAATTTGTACAGAAACACTTCTAATTAGAGTCTCTCTTGCCTCATAAACCCTCTGTGACAGAATTCAGGTAAATTAGAAAATTCAATCTCATCACACAAGCAAATTTTCATGAAGAAATACTGTATGACCTCATATCATGCAGAACCTGATAACTGCTTTAGACTAAGAATGCCATGCATTTAGCATGGCAAAAGTAAACAAAAAAATGGACATCACCCTTGAATGATAAATGAAATGAGAAACATCATCCTTTACCAACATCGAGGCATTTAAAGCAACAAAAACATTAAAAGAGCTTCTAAGACTGAGAACAAAACAAAGTCCCACCAACCAGATTTGCTTTTCAGTCTGTAACTTCTGCTTCCATCCAGGTTAATGTGCTGATTCACAATGATAGAGCTACCATACACTTCTGGCTTAAATGCATCTCTGCCTTGGTTCCGCAACGTTATGGAAATATCTGCAGAACTGAAAGATAAAGAATAAAAGAGACAACTAAAACTAGTTCCAAATTTAAAAAAATAAAATATCAGAACATTCTTTTCCACAAAAATTGTCATGTCTTGTATGGGACACAACTGGAAGCCAGTCATAGTACCAATCAGACCCATGGCCAGAAAGGCTGCTATATACACTGACCTGTTTGCACCCTCTGTGCCTCAGCTAAATCATGAGCCAAAAGTAAACATTTGAGAGCAGATTTCTCCCACTTTCCCTTCCCATACGATTACCCCATCTTTAGGCTGTACAATTAAGTTGCTTAAGAAGACCAAAGGTTGTTCTCCTGTCCATAAACCTGCCTCTGCAGAAAACAGTTGCTTAGCTTCTACAGTCATCCCTAACCAAAGGAATCTAAAGCAGAATGCTTAAGGCATTCTCTGAGAGAAGATGAGATGCAGTTTCCATTCTGAATTCAGATTTTCTGTTTCTCAAGTGAATGCTGAAACATTAAGTTGTCACACATAAGGCAGGTACTGCCAAGAATTTTACTCCAAGCACCTCCAAAAGGAAAAGCCTGGGGCTCTGGGTTACAGCTTTATGGAAATGTGAACTCTTAAACCTCCTCTCCTATTACTGAGTTCCCTAAAAACATTATGCAAACTCTTGAAGCAGATATGAATCCACCTCCTGCACGTTTAATAATCCACCTATAAGTCAAGATCTTTACACTGTATATTTATTCATGTCATCAGACAGACAGAAGAATTAACCTCACTGCTCTCAGAACAATAATTAGTTTCCTGTGAGTTTTTTCTAATGAAATCAGTTCTGTAGGAAATTCAAGTATATCATGGAAGTAATACACAAGCACTGGGCAAAACACAGGACATAGCACTATGTTAGCTAGTTCAGAAATAACAGTACACTACTGGAAAATCACTCAAAATTTCTAATCTGCGTTCTGTTTGTAATTTTGGATATTTTTGATTAAATACGAGCTCTTCAGTGTTACACTTTTTATTCAAATCTGGTAGAGATTTGAATAAGAGAACAGAAAACTGATCAGTTAACTTGAATCACAACTACTTAACAACAAGCTCAACCTTTAAACTAAAAGTTTTACTTACGTCTCTCCATCTCGTACAAACATTTTTAACGAGGTACCTCTATTAGTTGCAGTGGCTTTTCCACCAAGTCCAACAATAAGAGCAGTTAATACAGAACTTTTTCCACCTGTAGCAGAAGCATTGAACATTTTTAAAAAGAAGTTTTTGTAATTCTTTAGCCAGTTCACCCAGATTATGAATTTTTGTTTGATTGCTTATGTATTCATGCACCTAAAGTCCGAATTCTGTCTTTAGCGAACAAATATATAAAAAAGCAAGAACTCTAGAAAAATATCTGCCACTTCCAAAGTTCTTGCTAAACAAACCCACAAACATGCTGAGCCAAAGTTCTGTTCCCTCCTGCAATGCAATTTGCATTCAGCAAGATGTGCTGTCTCAGGAGGAAAGAATCTCCCTTTCCTTACAAGCATAGAGAAAACATGTATAGAACAAAAGAAATCAAACATACGTCTTCATTTATATAACTCTCTGAAAGGTTTTCAGCTTTCCTTCAATTTTTTTTTATTTTTTAAATTCTCTCTCCAAAAGAAGTGAACTTGCAGAAATAAGTATCAGTTCCTTCTCCAGTAACAGTTTCTACATGACAACTGGATGATTACTGTGCATTTAATAATGAACTTATGAACGGTTAGTTTAAATACAAACTCATGTATGATTTAGCTCTGAAAACATTTATATACACATTAACTTCTGCAAATCTCCAAATTTAAGTTTTTCACCAGCCTTAACAACTGGCATAGACCTGTTTGGTTCCCAAGTGCAGAAGTGAATCCATCTCTATTTCTAAAATATGGCTAGCAATTATTTTTCAAATAAAAATTATATCTTCTAAATTAGTAAAAAAAGTGTTCTTTGACAATTACTACTTACTTCCATTGTTTCCAACAACAAAATTGAGATTAGATCCAAACTGAAATGGCCCCAACATTGAATGGCACATAAAGTTCTTCAGTTGGATACTTTCAATTATCCCAACTTCCCCTACAGTCTAAAGAATTAACAATTAAAATCAGCATTATGTATACATTTTCATGAGATACAGTTTATCTTTTTTTAAGTATAATGAGAACTTAAACAGCAGCATGATAGAAAACATCAATGGTTACAAGCTACAAGGAAATCAGGAGGGTTTTCATAACACGATGAGAAGCTGCTTGCTACAGAGCAGTTACATTATGAAACAAGAGTAAAACAGTTACCAAAGCTGTTTACTGTCTGTAGTCACTTTCGGTTCTCCCTCTCACTAACTTATAATTAATGCAATAAAAAAGATTAAGATCACAGATTCTGTACAATTTTCAGAGCAGCAATAAAGAGCATCACGGACTGATTTTTGGTACTTGAATAATGCTATTTTTGAGAACTCTCAGCACAGCTTAGCATGAGGAAAATTAAATTAGATCAGGAAGGGGGAATGAAACTGAAAGTGGGGCAGCCCACTTTTGAACTGGTAAAGTATCGTTTTGACAGGAAACTTTCATTTTATTGCCAATGCTTTAGACAAGCAATGTTTTGGAAGAAAGTAAAGTCCTCAGAAGAAATAAGCAAATGACACAGAACAGCTGCTGTTCCAGAAAATGAAGTGACGAATAATGTTTCTGCTTATCAAAAATCAGCCACAGTGTCTCTAGAACAGATCAGACTACTCCAGCTGGAAGGGACTTACGATCATCTAGTCCAACTGCCTGACCACTTGAGGGCTAACCAAGTTAAAGCATATTGTTAAGGGCACTCTCCAAATGCCTTTTAAACACTGACAGGCCTGGGGCATCTCCTACCACTCTGGGAAGCTTGTTCTAGTGTTTGACCACCCTCTCTGTACAGAAATGCTTCCTGATCTCCACTCTAAATACACAAGACAGTACTTGCAATCTCAGAAGTCATTTTTTAAAAATCCTCCACCAAATTAGAATACAACTGCTACAGAAAAGCAGAAAAAAAAAGTTATTCCTGCTTTCATTTCCATCAAAACATGCATTTCAAACACTAGATTTTTCTTGTCGGCCATTTGGAAGTGTCAGCTATGCAAAATAAACAAGTATTAGATGCTTCTTTCAGTCAATAATGTTTTCTAAATATTTTCCCTGCTACAACCATAAACAAAATATACCATACTTCTAGCTAACAAAATCTGTTTCCTTTGTTATTTGACAGCTTCAGCAGTATTCATTCCATAAAAGCAGAACACTTATCTTATGATCAACTGTTACAATTACATGGCCCAAACAAAAGAAGGTAAGAATGAACTCGTGTGTGAGTCCTCATCACAGACATTACTTCTAGTTTCTGTTGCATTGGTTCCACTGAAGCCTACGTGCAAGACACTTACTTCAACATCAACCAAAGGCACAGAACTTCTTTACCTCAACTTTTTCTTATGATCGTTTAACCAACTTACTGGCAGTGAAGAGATATTGCTGTCAGCTGACGACTGTGAATTTCCTTCTTCATTAAACTCATCACTATGTTCCTCTGTATATTCTTGTCTCTGTCTTTTATGGGAGCCAGGCTTAGAAATACTTTCTTCCTTTCTTTTACCCATGAGTACTGAAAAATGAAAGAAATTAAAGACTACAGATTTCAGTCTTCAGCACAAAGACACATGAATTTATTTACTTTGATAAAAGAAGTATTAATTTCATAGCAAGTTCAAGGGAGCTTGTTTATCTTGCCTGCAAAAGGAAATCAACAGCTCCCTATCTCCTAAGAAGACTGCAAATGGAGAATATACAACTCTAAAGTCAGAGAATTAAGTACTTAACCCATTTTTGGCATTTGAGAAGGAAATGCAAGGGGGAAATTGGAAAAATGAGCAGATGCTCTTTCAAATAGAAATGAGCAATTAAAGCAACTCCTGGCTGTGGCTGAGAGGAGAAAATCAGCAAGAATATCAGCTGGAGGAAAGATTAGACAAATTACTTGATTGCATCCCACACAGATTGCTCTAATTCAGTCCAGCACATCCGTAAGGTGGTACCTCGTGAGGATCCCAAAACATGGGACAGAGACATCTGGTATGATAACAAGGACTTAGAGGAAGACCCTAACCTCATCCCGGAATCAGTGCAGGTTTGGCCATTAATTAAGACTGAAATTGGCAGTGAAGGAGACAAAGAAGCCCATGCTACCATACATACAATTCCCTGGTCACCTGCTGAGCTAGCAAAATTGCAAGAAAAATATTCTAGGTGCTCAGAGAAATCAGAAATAGAGTAAGTGTGGTGAGTTTCCCTCATGGGCAAAGATTGGGTCTTGCTGAGTGAGGAAGAAGCAGAAGGATACTGGGGACCTGGAGTATTTCTAACTACTATCCCAAGTGACCGCAACTATTTATTAGCTACTTGAGCCACTTATTGATCTGGGGCCACAGACTCACAGGAGAGAGGGGATCCTCTTGTCATTAAGACTTCGGGATTCTCAGATTTGGCAACCTCTGTGCAAAAGGCAGCTTGTACACAAATGATGGATGAGAGAGATATATTAAGGTGATGCCTGATGCTCCATAGACCCAGCCAGATTAACTCCTCTCATTTGTGGCCTTCCAGATAGTCTAAAAATACATACAGCAGATGCCCAAGGTGGCATCCACATGAACCATGTTATGAATGGTGCTGCAGCGGCAGCACAACCACCCAGAGAGCAAATGCACACACCCACCTGGAGAGAGCTTGTCCAGGAACCACTGAACTACAGGTGCCGTGTGGGATGGGCTGGAGGGACCTCCAGGAAGCCACCTGAACCTCCCCAGTGAGTTCAAATTCATACAGCCACACACAGGCCAGAATCTAAACTACCATTTGATCCAGAACAACGCAGCCTATGGAGCAAGGCTTCAGCCTTGAGAGCACCCCACCAACCTCTGCATGGTATGTCTAAAGCCAACCTCCAGGCTTTAATACAACTACAAAGACAAAAACAAGAAGGAAATGAACCAGGCCATTCAGCTGGGCACTAACCTGCTCCTGCCAGGACTGTACCTTTAGCCCTGCAGCAGGACTTGATTGATCTGAAAGACCCCCTCAAAAAAAACCCTCGCGTTCCCAGGGAGGGCAGTGAGCCACCATACCCAACAGGTTCTGGCTCTCAGTGGCTCTCAAATAGATGTCATGAACCAGTTATTAGTATCCTGATTTGCCCAACAAAAATTTTTTAGAGATTTTCTCATTTATACAGGCACTCAAATGTCAGTAATCACAAAAAAAAAAAAAACACAGAATACCTAAATATGAAACCTAGCTATCGCAAAGTTGGCTTTACAGGAATTGATGATGTCACAAGGAAATGTCCAACAGCAAAAATTACTTTGTGGCTCCCCACGGAAAAAAGGTCGACGCGAGCCGAGGTTATGGTAGGAGCTGCCAAGAGTAACATATTAGAATTTGACCTACTGTATGGCAGAGTATGGAAGCTCCCTGATAGATCAGTGAGCAGTTAACTGAGCAAGATGAACCCAAACCATCAGTTCAATAGAGAGAGCTATACCTTTGCCCCCATCCAAAATCACTAATGTGAAACAGTATCCCCTGCTGCCAGCTACACATTCAGGTACTGACGGGGGGGTCACAGACTTGGAAAAAAGAGACACTATTGTTCACGCACATTCTCTCTGTAACTCTCCAGTGTGGCAAGTAAGGAAAACAAATGGACAGTGGAGACTCACAATCAGTCATAGACAACTAAACACCAACACTGCCCCACTGACAATGGCTGTCCCAAACATAGCAGAACTGAAAACCCAAATTCAGGGAGTATCTCATTCCTGGATGGTGACCCTAGATATCGAAGATACGTTCTTTATGATGATAACATGATAAGGATCAGTTTGCATTCACTTGGAAGTACAGTATACCTTTAACAAGCTACCCTAGGGATATAAACATTCTTCCACAGCTGCCCATAACACCTTGACAAAGGTTCTAGCCAAGTTTTCTAGTCCACCAGTTGTTAAATCAGTACACTGATGACATATTAACAGGAGGGAAAACATCCAAAGAGGTCAGGCAGCTGTGGTTTCTGGGCAATGCCCACAGGTGTAGCTGTGCCCTTGCAAACTACATCTAACAGACAGAAGGGTCCCCAGACAAATACACTTTGTCTCCTCCTTAGCTCTTACACCCAATTTTTTGCTTGTACTAATAGATAACAGGTCGATAGCCTTACCCAGTTGCAACAACATAGTTAAGTATTATTGACCATTTTATATCACCCTAAAAATGGGCTGTC